TGCTCCAAAAATGGACGGAGTTGTACTCGTTATAGCCGGAGATAAATTCCAAACGAAAGATATTGTACTTTATCGGAGAAAGGATCAGCCGCTATTGGCTGCTGAAACTCATAGATGCTACGATGCTCTTCAATATCCCATCATTTTCTGGAATGATGCTGATGGATATCACAACAAGGTTAAAACGATAAATCCAATTATTGAGGAAGATACACGTAAGATAGGCAGCTAAATGAACTTCCATCTTACCGATTAAAGGTTCCAGAGAAAGAAGACGCTTATACATCGGAATGTCGTTAATGGTTGCTCCAATACACCGCCGATATTTGCGTAAAAATCGAAACATCACGTTTGTTATTCATACGCATAAAGCAGACCGAGCATTGCTCTAAAGAATGCATGCAGTTAAGCGATGCGGTTGTCAATGACGGCAAAGCAGCTGACGTTGTTAGATTCAAAATTTTGTCATCTATTGATGCAAGCTGTTTGCATTACATTCAAAAGTCCGCTCAGGATGAAATTGCGTACGTTTGTCAATACGAGCATCCCGACATATTCATTACATTCACCTGCAATCCAAGTTGAGACGCTATACAACCGTTTTTAAATAAAATAAATAAATAATTTATTCTCGAATACTTCGTGGCACACCAAATCTTGCATGATCAAGATGTTACAAGTGATTGTTTCGCTTACTTTGCCTTGTATGAAAAGCTCTTTTCGCACAATATACAGAACTTACCATAATGGCGGATGCACTGTTCCGGAACGGAATGTTTAACGAGGTGGCGAAAGTCGGTCTAAGAGTTTGGAAATGCGTAAAATAGAGAGTGGCGACGAAAGATTGAAACAGGGAAGTGTCTTTTTAGTGTACTTGTCCAAAAAATATTTAACTCATGTGAAAGTTTGCTCTGGTGCATTTGCTAGTGTGAGTTTATGGGCAGTGACTCTATTCAGTGGCCACTCACATCCGCCACGTCGCACAGTTGTTCAACGGACATTTGTGGTTTTTATAGGCATACCGCTTGCCAGGCAAAGCCCTTCCCCGTCCTGGAAGTCCGCCGTCAATCCCTTTGAATGGTGATGTATAACTGGCCATATATCTAACAGACCGATTTTATATTTCGCTATTCGCAGTCAAATGTGCACCAAACCGCTGTTCTGCCTCACCGAATTGCTTAGATTAGGTCCCACATGAGTCGTTGCAACCGGTCAATAAACGAAACTTCCAGAAAGTCAGGTGAAGGATTGTGCAGTCGAGTAAGGATTAGGAATTAATGGACTTTGCCTTTTCCTTAGTAGTACATTGGTCCTGGCGTGAAGACTTCGTGACCACGTATGCACACTGGACGTGCCAGGTGGTAAGTGCAGTTGATTCCTGTGGCAAACTTGATTCCATCGCAGGTGAAAATGCGCCTCCCTATTTAAATGCGAGATCTGCAGTAACTTCGCATTAATTCTTTTAGGATCATGGGCAGGATTACCAGAGTAATTATGCCTTACCCCTGAGTTCAGACCAGGTAAAGCATAGTTTGTCCGCAGAATGGGAACAGAATGCTTCCACAGGTACGGTGTTATCAAGAGAAATTGTCTTAAGTTCCAGTAATGGCTCCATGATATGCTCTCAGAAAAGCACCAAGTACGAAATGTATCTAAAGTTTGTTCAGTTGGGTAAGGTGCTGAACCCAATTATCCGAACACCAGTGAGAGGCAGCAAAGCTCTCCAAGTCAAAAAGTTAAGTGCGATACCTGAATGTGTCTTGCGTAGTGAAAGAAACGATCCAGGTAAATACATTGTTCCGGTCAGTAATTTGTGGCAATGTGCTCGTAAGGCGAGCTAAACCAATTCGTTTAGACCCCGTGCAAGTGGCTTCTCCCCAAATTGACAAAAGGCAGATCCATTCGGAAGCTAATAGGTATCGTCGGAATGATGATTTGCTGTTGAGTTCCCGGAGAAGTGCTCAATTGTTTCAAAGCAGCTGGCGGTTGAGGATGAAGCAGAAATTGCCAGTCGATGAGCCATCATACACCGGCCGCCGTATCTGTGGAAGTCTCGGGAAAAACTAGCAATGAACAATAGGCAACCAAGCAAGCCAACAGACTGGAATGCAGCGATAATACTATTAAATGACTGTTTGCCTGCAGTGTTACCTGGTTCCGTGGTACCTGGTAATTTTTTTCATAATTTATGATTTACAGTTGCCTTCTTACATCACGTCTGTGTGTGGCTCAGACTACAACTGCTGCATACAAAGGTGATTCTGTAGAACACATGGTCCAAAGAGGAATAAGTATGTTTACAACGTTCAGCGAAAAGTACGGGTATTGGAAAGAAGCATGGATAGAACGGTGAACGGCGGCCTTAATTATCCTTTATGAAAGCCAACAGAAAACCAGTACCAGCTTACGTGATGCCAACCGTATTACGATGCATAGCAAGGAGCATTCAGTTCATAAGCAGCTTTCAAAGTGTGTGGGAAACTGCCTAGCATAGGTGAAGAGCAGGTGAATGCGAACAGATGTGTGATGGGTTGGTGATGGCACAGATGATGTTGAAGCGCCACTACCTCAATAATCAGAAATCCGCCAGAAATGTGAGTGACGGGAAACCGGAGGCTAAAGCAGTGATATACTTGGGTGTCGTTAGGCAGGATATATTTCGAATAATAAGCGAAGAAGCAAGTCCATGCATTGACGTCCATTATGTTGTGCAGGGGGAACATGAGGTGAATAGTGGAAATATGGGGGAAATTAAGTTGAGTCTAGTACATAACATAATAGCCTTGAGATGGTTAAACTGAAGTCGTCCTGGGTTCCGCAGAAAGCAAAAAGACGGGCCAGGTTGGGCTAAAGCAGTGCTAAGCATTGGGGATCAATAGGCTAACAGAGCTAAGGTTAAAATGAGGATAAACGGACTCATACAGCGACATTTAGTATGGTAAGGTAGGAGCGAGGCTGTTAAGTGTCAGAGACAGACAAAGGTGTAGGAAACATGCTTTGGCTTACAGCCCTAAAATGGTTAGGAGTATGGTCAAACGTGACGATGAAACAACAGCTCAGAGAATCCAAAAGTTGAAGAGGTGGTCAGCGAAACTGTCTAACCGTTTTAGCGCGTATTCATGGACAGAAAGATAGTCAATAGATTCTGAAACCTTAGCTAGAGAACGACTAAGTAACTTCAATATTCAGGAAGAGTACGAGTGCAGCAGCAAACTTATTTAGGTAAGTAAAACAATCGGACGTAAAGGGCCAGCACTGTGAGGGATAAGCAATTCGTCGGCAGAGCATACTGTAGCTGTCACGTCAATGAAAGCCAAAGGTCACAGCAAAAGTTACAGAAGAAAAGCATCGGAAGAAACGTATTATGGTCTAATACAACCAGGTGTAAAGGTGAATCATCTGAACGGGTAGTCAAAAGTGGAGATAATGCAAACGTGAGGAAGACCTGGTAGTCAAGGCTAAGGCATTGGGGCAGGGTAAATTCAATGAACAATAAACAATGAATTTATACGGGTTAAGAAGCGTTGCTTTACAAGTCCCGTTGGATAGTTGGTGGGGATATCAACATAACAATAATGATAATAAGGATAGTAAAATAGTTAATACTTTAACTATGATAATAGGGACTTATCGTTTGCTTCGTTGTGGTCCTGCGATCCTCTTAGATTCAAAGCATCCACAGTTAACAACAAATAATTCCATGGTAAACTCCAGGTGTAGAATAGAGAAGTAGTGTTAAGTAACAACGTGTAATTGGATGAGTGCATCGTCCAACCGTCTTTTACATACTGCTAGTGTTGGTGCAGAGACGACCGATTCTGGGAGAACATTCCACGGGTGACAGACGCGAATGGAAAAGAAATTTCTGCGGCACTCCAGACGACTGTATTGTTCTGCGAGTTTTGATAGGTGGCCCCTCAGGTTTGTATTGCTGCTGAGTTGCATTAAAGGACGGCACACATGATGTGGGTCTCGCAGAATCAAGTATGCCATAATCAGGTCGCCTAGTAGTCTGTGATAGCTTCCACTGAACAATCCCAGTCGTTGCAGCCTCTCCTGGTAGGAAAGATTGCGCATTCCAATTACGTTCTTAGATGCCCGGCGTTGTGGCTGCTCCAGTGCATTAAGGTCGTGTTTCAGCCATGAATGCCAGGCTTGAATTGCATATTCGACAAGGGGGCGAACGTACGCACTGAGCATTTGTCGAAATATGGAGCTGTATATTTGTCCAAACGCCCGCCTCAACAGCCAAACGCGTTGGTTCCCGGTCTTCGAGGCCCTTTCGGATTGCCTGCAGCAACCCAAGTCATCTTGAACCAGGACACCCAAGTCACGTTCGAGAGTTGATTGTTGCAGTACATCCGTTCCGGGTCGGTATGAGTAGCTGCACTGATGTCGGATGGAAAGCACCTGGCATTTACTGACGTTGAAATGCAATAGGTTTTGGGTCGACCATTGATACACTGTATGTCAGTCACTTTGAAGCAAATGTTGGTCGGCGTTCGCCTGGATCCTGCGCCAGATCTTGATATCGTCGGCAAACATTAGGAAGGTTGAAGCGATTCCCTGTGCAAGGTCATTAATGAACACCAAAAACAAACGTGGACCTAGAACTGAGCCTTGCGGCACACCACACTCCACTTGTATGGGATCCGATAAAGAGCTCCGAACTCTGACCACTAATTGCCGTTGAAATAGAAAGTTAGCGATCTAGATTAAAAGAGGGTCTCCGATTCCGTATTGCTGCAGCCTAGCTAGTAGTATCCAATGGTTTAGACGATCGAAAGCCTTGGAAAAATCCAGGTAGATCACATTAACACCTTCTCCAGCGTCAGCTGTCTCGGTCCAACTACTGCGTGCAATTAGTAAATTAGTTGTACATGACCGCTGTCGGCGGAAACCGTGCTGTTCAGGAGTGATGAGGTTGCAGTTTTCCAGATAGCACAGCAGTGCATCGGCAACTATGGATTCCATGACCTTGGAGAGTATAGGAAGAAGGGTTACTGGGCGGTAGTTAGGGGATCAGTTCTGCTTCCACCTTTGTGAATCGGGGTTAATATTCCAAGCTTCCACATGGCGGGAACTTGGTTCTGGTCTAAGCAGCGCTGGAAAAACTGAGCTAAAGGTCCTGCCAGTTGGCTTGCTGCTGCTCCCAATGCCCCCGGACGAATGGTGTCGACACCCGGCGAGCTGTGTTTGCGCGGAGAAGTCAGCTTTTGCAATGCAGCCTCTGCGGTAAACTTGATGTGGGTTAGTCCTGGCGAGCAGAATACAAAGCTTGGTAGATCGATTGGTGGCAAGACTCTTTGAAACGTGGGGCGTATTGCATCTGCAGCAAGTTTGCTGCTTCCACAGCCTTTCTTGTTGGGTTATTAGCCGTCTTGAATGGAGGAAATCCTTGCCTCACCTTTCGTAGGCTATTAACGTGCTTGTACAGCAGTTTGTGGTTAGCGCTGAAGGTTGTTGGGATGTTCTGCCGATAGGCGGCTTTGTCTTCTCTTAACAGTTGTGTGCAGTGGTTACGTTGGGCTACTTAGTTGTCCCAATTTCTGGTGCTGGACCTTCTCTATACATTCGCCATGCTGCGTTGCGTACTGTCGTCCATTTTCGAGTTCTGCTTCTAACGAAAGAAACCGATTTACCCCTATTGCAAGCTTGTATCTCTGAAGCCTGTGCAATCAGCTGACTGAATGTGTTGACGAACTCGAGCCAGGCGACTTCGGGGGGGTTTTCTTCGAGGAAAGACCATGCTGTGGCGCTGACTAGCTGGGAGAGTCGGTCGTATCTTGTGATGGTTCGCACAGTCTCATCGTTCTCATTCAGATAGTCTGCATAGCAGACGAAGTTAAAACTGATGACTGCATGATCGCTGCGACCCAACGGGAAGTCTAAAACCAAAGCATCAGTCATATGCTCTTCGTTGGTAAGCACAAGATCTAGCACAGATGGCCTGTTACCAGTTCTGAACCGAGTGGGCAAAGTGCTGTGGTTGTAAAGAGGAACAGTAGTTACTAGATCTTGTAGATCGGTTTTGAATTGTTCTCCGATCGTGGCAAGGGCTTCTAAACAATGCACGTTGAAATCACCCATGATAATAATGTGAGTGTATTTTTGTTGTAAACTGCACCTTAAAGCAGCCGATAGGTGGTAGTCGGTTTCGGGTGTTGAGTTAGAGGCGCGGTACACCAAGACAATAAGGCAAGCGTCCCTGCCTTTTAACTGCAACCGGCACCAAATAGAGTCGGGGAACTGCGAGTCTGAGTCCTCCACGGCTTCGCACTGTAAGTCGTTTCGGTAATACAGGATTACCCCACCTTCCTTTGTGAGCCTATCGTTCCGGATCAGCGACTTGCCGGGTAGCGACACTTCAGCGTCCGTCATTCCCGTGTGCAACCATGTCTCGGTGATACCAGCGACATCATACGAGCCGGAAGCTTGGCGATCTTTCAGTTCAGCCAGTTTGTTAGAAAGACATTGAGCATTTGTATACAAGCAGGCCCGTTTCTCGGTCTCTAGGAGCCCGCAGAGGGGTGAAGCTGTCAAGTGTGGGAGAATGCCGACCGATGGCTAAACAACTAGTTTATTGAGAAAGATTTCGTGAGCAGCAGCAGCCTTATATCAGTAGGTTATATACTCGGACGTGGAAGATAGTACTTTGACGGGATGGCCAATGAGCTGGCAGAGCACACTGCTTGGCAGTCGCCAGTGGATGGGCATGAATTCACAGCACGTGTTTTCAGACAGAAGTTGCACCCGCTGATGAACTTCTTGGTAAAACTGATGCGTTGGTGTCAGTGCGTTGTTATATTGACTCAGTGGAATAGCAAAAGAGCTAACTGGCACATGCACATACCATCATTTGACTGTACAACAAAATCAATTCTATCGAAAGCGACGATGTAAGGTCCCTTGAAATACCCGAGCCTGACGTCGATAAGGACTTACAGGAAGTTGTGACGAAAAATAATGTACCTTGATCCTGCGGTTTACTAAAACCAAATTCACCGCGCATGACAGACGGAAAATGCTCAAAGCGATGTCCTCGAGTATCGTTATTCACCACAGTTACATGAACAGACGGACATCCCTTACACAGCTGACAAGCGGCAGAAGATGGTGGCAACGTAGTCACTATACAGCTGCGATGCGCGGGATCGAAGTCTATATTGGGTGGGTTTTTCCATTTTAGCCAGTACTATTCAAAACGGACAAGATGTAGAAAACGCGGAATACCGTATCTTCGTCAAATAAATCAACTACATATATAAGTACGTGCACATGAGCAGCGACCTAGCAAGTTTTGGCATAAAAAGAAACGGAAATGATGCGAATCCGGGAATCCGTATAAATGAAGTCGCACTGGAAGACACATGCGTACGAATGTAGCTATATGGCGCATTCTATCATTTCCGATACATGAACCAAACCCAACTCTCGTTTACTTAGCAGCACACCTGAAGAACGGACAACGTATATCCTTCACAGCAGCAGTTGTGCATCCAGGGGCCCTGAATCCACCGGCTACAACATTAACTGCTTTCTTCATGTTACGGCAGTTTGACACGTTTACGAAACAACTGCTCCTTTCCGCTATGTCCATGTATTACCCATAAATGTGAGTAGATAAAACTTTGCGTGACGCAACTGAGGAGTGCAGGTAAATAGACAACCTGATATCTTCCAGGAAATTACTATAGACTATCCACTGTACGTCCCAATCAAGGTGAATGTATTTTTCTACGCATGTGGCTGGCCACTGTGTCTAGTTCTACGTCTTTCCAACAATTGAGGATTGTCAGCAACGTTACACTTGCAACGGTTCGCAGCGCATCTTCATCTCTGCATTTACAGGAAAACGACAGCCACTGGAATTTATGCATAATTGACACGTGCAGAAAGTCAAACGAAAATCAAATTCCCGAGTTATTTGCAATCATTTTGACCGCTCGCATCCTCTGTCCGCGACAGAGCTCTGGAAGCAATATACTTCGCCCATAGACAAAGTTATTTCCGGTCGAATAAACTAGGGAAATGTTGATACAAACATGGAATTCCCAGCGGAACTATTAAAAGAATGGTTGGCAATGTTTGAAGCTTGTGCTAAGAAATCGCTTTCAAACCTCTAAATCAATTAAGAAAACTGTCAACGATTGGATTTGCCACTGCTTGGTTTGTTGCCGAATAGCCTGGTGAACAATGGTACTTGCGATCTTTTGCCTTATGTGCAATTTAACCTTTCTGTGTTACTACGAGCCAAAAGGCGTTTGCAATGGAATGATGCAAACTGGCAATGACGCGGTTGGAGCAATCTTCTTCTTAGATGCGGCAGGAGAAACTGGTACAACGTTCCTTCATTAATTGATTTTTGCGGCAATTAAGTCGTTAACTAACATAGCCCCAGCTCACGCCTCCTCTGGATTAGCTGTGACATTACTACCCGGATGCAGAACAGCTCCTTCCGCTCAGAAAATGCTATTGAACAAGCAATTCATTGAAACTCACCTGCAACATTTCCAGACGTTCCAGCATGGGAAACGTATTGCAGAAGCGCAAACATATTGTTTGGGATGAATACGCAATGGCGCACACAAAATTGCTGTTGGCACTTTCTCGATCCCTACCAGATGTGTGAGGAAACAGCAGACCATTTGAGCACCCTTTGTTATTATTGGCAGCAGATTTCAGGCAAACTTTGCCTGTAATGCCTTCATCTACACCAGTGGACAAAATAAATGCTTAACTGAACTATGCTTATTTGTGACGTCACGGGTAGACGTTAAAGCCAACTCTAAGTATGGATGTCCAGTCTCAAGGCCGTCACTAATCTGTGGCATTTTTACTTCAATTCCTAGATATGGGAACAGAAATTTTTTCTGTTTGTCTGAGCACAAGAAGAATTTCGTTACTACATAACCTTCAATTTTGTGACGTCAAGAGAACTGTTGGAAAAAGTATTTCTTAATAATAAAACTAATTTCTCGAAGCACGATTGACTGAGTGAACGAGCTATTTTTGAGGCCAAAAGCCAGGGCTTCGAGGAACTGAACATTATTATTCAGCCTAACATTCCAATCGAGGGTCACCTATAAGTTTCTGGATATTGTGTTTGAAGCAGCTGATGCGGTTAATTAATCAGCAGAACTTTTGAATTAACTCGCAGCTGCCACCGCACGCACTTGAATTAAAAATGGGCACACCAATTACCATGTTGTGAACTATCAACCAGCCAAAGCTTGGTAACGGCACGCGGCTTGCAGTAAAAGGAGTACTCAGCAAAGTTGTGCAGGCAACAAACTGGTCTGGACCTCTTCAAGGTAATGATGTTTCTTTCCTCACATTACGAAGCTTCCTACTAATACGCCATTTCAGATGGCAATTTTTTATTCGTTTGTCCTCTCAAATCACAAGCAGTAAAGCTCAGGGGCAGTCTTTTATAGTGTGTGGGTTGGAGCTACGCACCGACAGCTTCTCATATGCACAAGTATATGTTACGTGTTCTGGAGTCGGAAAAACCTGCCAAACTCCATGTCTGCATAGACAAATAATCAACAAACTATGTGGTATTCCCACAAGAGTTGAAAAACGAAATCTGTAACGCCCAAAAAGATAACTCTTATCTTTCGTGTACAATTTACTTATTGACCGATTGTACATTACTCCTTCTTGTTTTAATCTTACAACCGGCTCGACACACAACTGCCTTGTAAGTTCCCGCGCTCACGTGTACGCTCTTGCCTCGTTTCATCCGTCCGTTTCTTGTTGTAGTCCCATCGAATACAGTCCGCTGTGTCCGACTCCAATTGCCTTCTGATATCCGCGCTTAATTCCGCGCACCGTCTCGGACTAGTATTAACTAGTCCTACAAATTGGTGACCCCGATTCGCACGCGCGAATTCAATTTTTTCTCGTTTGTATTTTTTGGTGAGTTCGTTCCTTTTTCTCGATTATATACCTATATTCATTTGTTTCTTGCGTAATTTTAGTACTTTTATCGTATTTTGTTAGTTCTTTATCTTTCGACTCACATTTCGAGAGTTGCATCTGAGTCGTTTCACAGCGTAACCATGCTTACTTTGGCTGTTCCAAGTTTCATGGAACACAGTCCAGAAGTTTTGTTTAAGATATTCGAGATCGAACTAGAAAATAAGGGCATAACGGCGGACCGTCCAAGGTACAATCAGCTCGTCCCACGCCTTCCTCCGTCGGTAGTGACGTTGATTGAGGACATTCTACTCTGCACATCGAATGAGGCAAAGTATGAAACGATGAAGCAAGCGATTTTGAAAGAGTTACGACCCAGCGCACGAACACGATTTGAGCAGCTCAATGGTCTCAAGCTTGGAGATCGCAAGCCGTCGACATTGCTCCGCGAACTTCAGCGCATCGCTGGTCCCTTATTCTTGAGCGAAGAAGGGATAAAGGAGCTGTGGTTTGCACGTCTCCCAGAGCCATTGCCGGTAATGCTGTCCATGTTTATAGATGCACCCTTGAAAGACTTAGCTACCAAGGCAGACGCTGCGTTCGAACGTTTTCCGCAGCAGACGACCAGTAACTCCGGTGACATATTCTCACCGATGAAAACCGAATCACATGTTTGTTCCCAGTCGCTAGACCGATCTGACTCTAAAGACGAGGAAATTGCGCTACTTCGCAGCAGGATAGCAGCAATGAAGGCTTCGAAGCAGCGGGTGCCACGGTCAAATGCTGACCACGTTTTGGCTACCGTTCATTGCGGCTCGTCTGTGCCTGCACCGAGTACGTCACGTTCGGCACGAAAGCGCAACATTTTCCTTACAAGTTCTCAGTCAGATAATGTCAAACCCGTCGAAGAAGTATGTTGGTATCACCGCCAATACGGTGGAAGAGCTAGACGTTGTCGGGCTCCCTGCATTAGGCACGACCCAGGGAAAACGAATAGCCCGCATACTAGCACTACAAACGTATCATTCAATAACCAAGCAAACCGACTGTTTTACGTTAAGGATCGACGTTCTTCCATCACGTTCCTCATCGACACAGGAGCGGAAGTCAGCGTCATCCCAGCGACCGCTAGCGACAAGCACTCGAAGCCTACGTACAATTTGCGTGCGGCCAACGGTTCTCCGATAGCTTCATTCGGTCAGCGCATGATGAACCTAGACCTCAATCTTCGCCGAGATTTTCAGTGGGTCTTCATGGTTGCGTCTGTACCCTTCGCAATTATCGGTATCGACTTCCTCCGACATTTTGGGTTGCTTGTTGATGCTGGTCGCCACAGACTTTTAGACGACCGTACGAAACTAGGTGTTGATGGTGTCCTTTCAGATGCCCCGATAATCAGCCCTGTATTTCGGATCGCAGACGCACCGTCCGACTACTTGAGCCTCCTCTCCGAATACCCGCGACTGGTTCGACCGGCTGCAGAGCTTCCACCAGTCACGACAGAGGTCGCTCACCACATAGTTACGCGCGGTCAACCAGTTAGCGCACGACCAAGACGGCTTGCTCCAGACAAACTACGGGCAGCACGAGCCGAATTTGACCACATGCTTCAACTTGGTATCGTCAGACCGTCCAACAGCCCATGGGCGTCGCCTCTGCACATGGTCCCGAAGAAGGTTGTGGGGGACTGGCGTCCTTGCGGCGACTATCGATCCTTGAATACGGTAACCACGCCTGATCGCTATCCGATCCCACACATAGTGGATCTCACCGCCAGTCTGGCGGGTAAAAATATCTTCAGCAAAATCGACTTGGTACGCGCATACAACCAAATTCCGGTAGCCGAGGCGGACATCGCTAAAACTGCCGTGACGACTCCATTTGGTTTGTTCGAGTTTCTGCGCATGCCATTTGGCCTAAAGAACGCCGCGCAAACTTTTCAGCGTTTCATCGACCAAGTTTGTCGCGGTTTAGACTTCGCTTACGCGTATCTTGACGACATTTTAATCGCAAGCTCTTCACGAGAAGAGCACATACGCCACGTACGAACACTTTTTGATCGTTTATCTCAACACGGGGTGACGATCAACGCAGAAAAGTGTTCGTTTGGTGTCGATTCAGTTAATTTCCTGGGCCATCGTATCTCTTCTGCAGGCGTCGTGCCACTGCAGGATAAAATTCAAGCCATTATCGACTACCCCGAGCCTCATTCTTTCAAACAGCTCAGGCGTTTTGATGGCCTTGGTCAACTTTTACCGACGATTTATACCCAACTGCGCCTCGCTGATGCAACCCCTCACGGACCTTCTCCGAGGGAAACTCAAGAAATTCGAATTTCCTGCCGCAGCACGCGCTGCTTTTAAGTCGCTGAAAGAGGCTATCGCCAACATAGCTTCTATAGCGCACCACGATCCGGCCGCCCCACTGTCCCTCAGTACTGACGCCTCGGACGTGGCAGTCGGCGCTGTTTTGCAGCAACGCGTAGCCGACACGTGGCAACCCTTAGCCTTTTTCTCCAAACGCCTACAACCTACCGAATCTCGCTACAGCACGTTCGGTAGGGAACTACTAGCCGTATATCTAGCGATACGTCACTTTCGACACGTCCTAGAAGGCCGCTCCTTTGTCGTCTTCACCGACCACAAACCCCTGACTTACGTGCTCGGCTCGACTACCGACCGATACTCTCCTAGAGAGTCGCGCCACCTTGACTATATCGCTCAGTTTACGACCGATATACGGCATGTCTCAGGTGTGCACAACGCCGTCGCCGATGCACTTTCCCGCATTCAAGCTATTTCCGCTGACGCCGGCACTGCTATCGACTTGGCAGCCATGGCCACAGCACAACTCAACGATCCTGAGGTTGATCTACTACGCAGGTCTCCCTCATTGGATATACGACCCGTTCCGCTGACATCATCAGACGGAACGATACTCTGCGATTTATCTCTGGGCACGCCGCGCCCAGTCGTCCCACGTGAGTTTCGGCAGACCGTGTTCGACGCGTTGCACGGCTTGTCTCATCCAGGCGTTCGTGCATCGGTTAAACTCGTAACCGCACGATTCGTTTGGCGCAATGTTAATCGGGACGTCCGTACTTGGGCAGCTGCTTGCCTTCCGTGTCAACGCGCGAAGGTGCACAAGCACACGAGAAGCCCATTAGGCACGTTTCCGACGCCAGACGCACGTTTTCATCACGTGCACGTCGACCTCGTAGGTCCTCTGCCGCCTTCCAAAGGCTCGGTATATCTACTGACCTGCATCGATCGATTTACTAGATGGCCTGAGGCCGTCCCCATCCCAAATTGCTCCTCGGAAACGGTAGCGAAAGCTTTTATGGAGCGCTGGGTAGCTCAATACGGCTGTCCCGCCATCGTGACCACCGATCGAGGGTCACATTTCTCGTCGACATTTGCCACGTTGCTTAAGGATTTAGGCTGTCGCCACGTCCAGACGACGGCGTATCATCCGGCCGCTAACGGCATGGTGGAGCGTTTTCACCGCCAGTTGAAGGCAGCGCTACGTGCGCACGCAGATCCTTCATGGTCTGAAACGCTTCCCCTCGTTCTTCTAGGCTTAAGAAACACGGTTAAAACCGATTTCGACGCCACACCAGCGCAGCTAGTCTACGGTTGCACGCTGCGGTTGCCCGGACAACTGGTAGCACCAGCCCCATGTACTTCCACTTTTGACTACGGAAGTTACACTGACCGATTGGCTCATCAGATGCGTGAGCTACGTCCACCCGCTCCTCGATCGCAGAAGACACCAGTGTACGTGCCCGAAAAGCTGTCTACGTGTTCACACGTCCTTCTTCGCGCAGACGGTGTTCGACAGCCTCTTCAGTCGCCGTACATAGGACCCTTCAAGGTGCTGCATCGTGCGAGTAAGGCGTACACTATTGACCGCGGTGGTCGACACGAAGTCGTCACCATCGACCGTCTAAAACCCGCCTTTATGGAAGAAGCCACCTCGCCTACTTCGTCTAGTAGTGCTTCGTGCGACGTTACAACTCATCGCACCAACTTACCTCATCCTAGTCCAGTTCAACCAGACCACGATCTCGGTCTACAAGCCGTCCCAACCTCTCCCGAATCTAGCCCGCCGCCTCCCACGACCAATCGCCGTGGTCGGGAGGTGCGTAAGCCCGTCCGTTTCTCCGACTATGTACAGTGTAAATATTTTTAGCTTTGTAGATATTGTATATATTTGCCCCGTTTTTGGTCGATCAACGTTTTGAAAACAAACAAAAATAGCAAAAAACCTCCGAAAAACCTTTCTCGAAAAATATTCAAAAACCAAAAAATATTTAAACACGCAGATCATTCGTTTGTTCTTTTTGGCGTTTTCTGCGCGTGTTTTTCTATTTTCTCGTCTTTACATGCCCCAACCCTCCCCTTCGATCGACTGGCCCACACGAGGAATGTTTTCGAGGACCCTGACGCGAACACTGGTCGCTTCTCCGCGGGACGAGGATCGCTTCTCCGCGGGACGAGGATCGCTTCTCCGCGGGACGAGGGTCACTTTTCCGCGAGACGAGGGTCGCTTCTCCGTGGGACCATGGTCGTTTTCTTCGTGGGACGAGGGTCGCTTTGGCGCGGGGCGGGGTGCGGCGGGGGGAGAGACCACTCCCAAGCGCACCGTTTGGCAGCAGCGGAGGTTGAGGTCCTGTCGGCCTTTTTCTGGACTAGCCAGTTTTTTGTAGTCCGACAAGCCCGCTCCAACGGCTCGCCGAAATGCACCCTGCCCTGCATTCAATAAATAACGAATCATAAACGGCACAGCGGACTCCGACTTCCGACGAACCCCCATTTACACGAACGCACGCCCATTTTTACTCGGCACGATTTCGCCTTACGAACCTCGTTTCAACATTCCTTTTCGATTTCGAAGGCTTTCTATGTTCAGCCTTCTAGGGGGGAGCTCTGTAGCGCCCAAAAAGATAACTCTTATCTTTCGTGTACAATTTACTTGTTGACCGATTGTACATTACTCCTTCTTGTTTTAATCTTACAACCGGCTCGACACACAACTGCCTTGTAAGTTCCCGCGCTCACGTGTACGCTCTTGCCTCGCTTCATCCGTCCGCTTCTTGTTGTAGCCCATCGAATACAGTCCGCTGTGTCCGACTCCAATTGCCTTCTGATATCCGCGCTTAATTCCGCGCATCGTCTCGGACTAGTATTAACTAGTCCTACAAATCGCTTATTCAGGTGAGAAGTTCTTATTCCAACATTTTTCTTTAACCAGACAGCGGAAGATCACAAAAGTTTGCATTCTCATCTCATATAGAGCTAAGCTTTTTCGTTTCTAAAATGTTTATTCAACCAGACAATGGAACAGCGAACAACCTTGCATGCCCGCAAGTATCGAGTAACTACAGCTACCGCAAAGGTGAGGTTTTTCCATTCTTTCATTAACATTGACCCACACCGAGGCAAAGCAACGCTTGGCCAGTTATAGCTTATATATATATATGAAATACACAGCCCAATAACTTTTATTTCTTGAACCATGTCAGCTGAAAAATTAGCGGTCCTACAAAGAAGACTTTCGACATTGAGGCTTTACTAATTTGGTTGACAAAGTTTTGATGATCCTCTAAGAGTTTAGTGCTCATGGTAAAGAGAACGAAACCCAGAAGATTAAAAGGCCACTTTGAACGGTCATTCACAATTGGTAGGAAAACGTATTGCATTCTTCATGCGTAAATAACACACTAAAATTTCGCGCGTGCATACATCAAGCTACCTTTCAGTCAACCGTAGCTGGTCTTGAAGCTTTCTACTATGTCGCACTTCCAAGCGCCGAAAATTAGAAACCTTATACAGAAGGAAAGGATCTCATCAAACGTTGCATACTGGATGCGGCTAACCCATTACTTGGAGAGTGACATGCGGAACAGATAATTATGATACCGTTTCTAACAGCACTGTCAAAAGTATCATCAACGAATTGAGTAAGCATATTTTGGACACGTAGCTTAAGGTAAAAAGTCAAGGTCCTTGTTCGCACCATAGTTGTATGAGTAGACCGACGTTGCTTCTTGTTCTGAGATACTTATGTACGTTCTGTACTTTGAAGGCGACGACTTCAATGAAGAGTACTTGTGCTCGTGACCACTGCGCGTCAGTATATGTTGAGGAGATCTCCCGAACAGTGAGGTATTTCGTCGAGTATAAGAAGCTACAGTGGTTTAAGTTGGTGGGTGGCTGTACAGAGGGAGTACGGTCTATGTTGGCCTTTCGTTCCGGATTCCAGACATTAGTCAAGAAGTTGCTCCGCATGCTAGCTTTGGCTTCTGAATTATAAATCGTTGTGCTTTAGCAGTGAAAAGCCTACCCTCTGGTTGGCTAGACGAATTTACTAAAGTAGTGAATATTGTAAATCTCATCCGCGGCAGTGCAACAAATACAAAAGTATTTAAAAGGTTGTACAGTGACTTTAGGGGGCAACTTCGACGTGCCGTTTTCCAAACAGAAGTGCGTTCTTTAACACTGAGCATGGCGTTGCACCGAGTGCATGAGTTCCTAGAACAAACAGAGAATATACTATTTATTTATTTATTTATTTAAAACTACAGTAAGGATAAGCAGAGTGGTTTAAACGCCATCGTAGCAGATAATGTATTTATTTGTAAACCGGCAACTCATCAAACTATCTTCCAGGAAACGAATACGCTTAACCTCATCTTGCAAGGAAAAATGACGCATACTTCAACTGCTCAGGATAGGGTTGTCAGTCCTCTTCGTAAATCGTAGCTTTGTTTATGCAGAGCTGGTGTGTGTGGCGTTACGATGTACTCAGAACTAACAATGATGATCCTTGGAAGAAAAGAAAAATGCACATTCATATGAAATATCTTTTCATTTGTCGTCAGTAGTACATTTTATCGACAAATATATTACTCTTTTGGAAAATCTCCAGGTGGCTTCTCAGTTGCCAAGACCCTTTCAGTGGATGAAAGAAAATATCCAGCGAAGGAAACTGAGGACAAAGCACAATTCCATGGTCCTCACCAAAACAACACAATAAAATGGATTTCCGAAACACAGCGAGCAAGATTTTGTGCAAGGATTGGTGTTGAGCATTAATTGCTTTTGAAAAAAGCTGAGACTGCCGAGCCGTTTCGCCGCAACCCATAGGTCTGAACGTGGAATTTTAACAGCGTTGACGAGGAAAAGAGAAAGGAACCGAATGAATTTGGAGTATGACTTGCTACGTACACTAGCCGAAACCGCACCAAATAAACCAGAAATTATTAGAACTGAGCAATACCTCCCGTATTATTAAAGGACTTCCCCCATGAGTTCAGAAAAATTGTCCAGAACTAGAGGTTTTCTCTATTTGAATGCTCGAAGCAATTAAAAATACCATTGCTTTTTCGTAACATAGCAAAGTTGCAATGACCAATTAAATTCTAAAGAAATCTTTCTGTAGATGAGGTTTTCTGGTGAAATTGCTTTGTGGTTAACGGCCGCAATACGGTGGAGCACCACTGCCTTAGAACTTACGCATCGTAGCTGCCCTAGATCACCACCCGTTGCACCAAGCTTAAGTTTCAGTTTACTGCTTTTACCATTTGCGTTGCAGTAAGAAACTTCCGTAAGCGTGAACAAATTTGTAGCTGATCCGCTGCAGATGAAATCCCATGACAGCCCTTAAGGTAGTCTGAAGATATTGGCAAATTTCATAGCCGTCTTGTCTACACTAGGGACTAGGATTCCGGGAGCAGGTCCGTAGTTGACACCGGGACGGTACTTAACCTCGTTTCCCCTATCCTGGTGAGCCGACCAGGCTAGGCATTCATAGTTGAAACCAGGAGCGATAATAGGCGGGACTACATACTACAGCTATGTCGAGACATCCGTTGCAGGGCCAGCTCTGAAACTGACCTGGGGCAGCGGAATAAGTTTAGCAGCAGCGTCAAAAAATACTGTGTTCCATTTTTGGGTAGACTTCTACGGAAAAGCGTATATGTCAGGTAGACAATAGAGAAGAGCAAGGGCGCGTGCAGGGTTAATTGAGATGTAGGACTCACTCGCTTTCTGAAGAAGAGGCGATACTGACAGGCACTCAAAGTTGAATACTGCGGTGAGAAGAGACGGGAATACATGCTATAGCTGTAGTGAGGTAACGGTTTCAGAGCAGTTCTGTAAGGGACGTAGGGTAACAGAATGATATGGCCTGCAGCGCTACATGATACTAAGTGTTCCACTCTAGGTGGTCCACAATGGTGAAAAATACAAATCTAACACAATGGCGAAGAGTGGTGGTGGAAGCTGGATTTATTGTAAACCGGGCGCCAGAGGCTATGGTGAGATGACGCATGGACTAATAGGCCAACAAACTTAAGAACTGGGGCGAGAATTGAAGCCATTGCATACTACCGCTGTAGTGCGAAAACAGTTGCAGAAGCTTCTTTAAACGGGACTATAGGTAGCCGGTTAAACTGCGCATCGGCGCCAAATCATATACTAAATTTTCCATCCTAAGGTGGACTTCTAAAGTGGGACATACTAGTCAAATGGATGGCAGAGAACAGGGTGCCAAAAAATCCGGCTTCCACCACCGCACATCTCTACCGTCTGTTTGTCTGGTAGTTTCAACACTGTAGCCTACCTAGAGTGGAGCACTTAGTATCATTTAGCGACGTAGCCCATAGCATCCCTCTACCCCACTTCCCTTTCAGAGCTGGCCCTGAAACCATTTCCTCACTGTATCTATAGCATGTAGTCCCGTCTGCTCCCACTCCACTATTCAATTTGAATGATCATCAGTATTGCCTCTTCTTCAGATAGCGAGCGAGTCCTACATCTCAATTAACCCGACACGCGCCCTTGCTCTTCTCTATTGTCTACCTGACATATATGCTTTTCCGTAGAAGTCCACCCAAAAATGGAACACAGAGTATTTTTTGACGCTGCTGCTGAACTTATTGTGATAATTGTACAAACAATACTCAGTGATTGTTTATTGTTATTCTTTTCACCTTTTTGATGTAGAATACACACCCGCGAAATTCGAATTCCAATTCTGGTGTTCTTATTCCGAGTCGTGACTAGTTTGGGTGGAGTTCAATTATTTTCCGATTCAGAACATCATAATTGGCGTCGCAGTCAGCGTTTATTTCCAAATGAATACAACCATCGAATTCTTAAACGTAAATGCATCTCCCCGGGAGTTACAAGAATACATGGAGAGATTCGAGTTATGGTGGCTCACAAAAGATGACCTTCGCGAAGATCTTAAATATGCCCACTTTTTAACTGTTATTGGATGAAAGGCGTATACGCTTCTAAAAAATCTGGCTTACCCACAGCTGCCATCGAAACTATCATATGACAAGTTGCGGGACCTCCTTTTATCTCACTTACTACCGGAAAATTTCGTGGTTGCCGAAAGAGTAAAATTCAACTTGCTGTTCCGTCAACCTAATCAGTCTACTCGTGATTTTATTCTCCAACTTCAATCTCAAGCATCAACTTGTGCATTTGGAGACAAACTTGACGAATGCCTCAGAGATCGCCTAATTGCTGGAATAAATAATCCCGATTTATATCGTCAGCTCCTATCACTTCCATCGCTGACTTAAAATCACGTAAAATCCATCTGTTTGCATTATCAGGATGTTTCTGATATTACAAGAAGCCAGACGATTGTTGATCATCAAGTCTTGTTTGGCTCAGCCAGTCGCCGAGTTCATGCCGAGCAGAGAAAACCGTGGCAAATCAACTCTTTCAAACCACACGGAATTAGTCTATCTCATGCACCGAGAAATTCAGACAGTTTAAAGTGTGGTCAAGCTGATA